CATCGGACGCATCGCTGCCACTGGGGGGGGGGCACAGACCCAGCACATTGGACGGAATTACCCCTGGAGCCTTCACTCACTCCCTACTTCCCGTTTCCCTTAAGTTTTAATAAACTTTCTGGTGTGACGCAATTGTGGTCCTCTTGTCGTCTGTCTGAACCGTGACACTGTGTAACTTAATATTACTACCTGCATTGTAGATTTCCACCATCACACATTCATATTCAGATGGGTCAGGTATATTACGATATACAAGACCTTCCCTTATGAACGTAGCACACCCACGACCCTGTCCAATTGATCTATCAGATCTGATTGAGCAATAACCAGGAATAATAAAATCTAGATGTTTCTTTTTTGTAGACGCTCTTATCCAGAGCGACTTACAGTTAGTGAGTGCATTCATTATTTATTCATACTGGCACCCCTTTGGAATCGAACCCACAATTGTGCACCGCCCCATGGGTCTCCCGGTCGCGGCCGGCTACGACAGAGCCTGGATTCGAACCAGGATCTCTAGTGGCACAGCTAGCAAATCTATTAAATATGTCTTAAACTCCTGACCGTTAGCAATAAGGCTTCTGGCATTCCACTGAAGGATAACAAAAACTCTAATTATCATCATACTGATACATTCCATCATTAGTATTATTAGAAGTCAACATATCAACTATCATGGCGACAGTAACATCTGTTACTCCTAAAAACTCTGTTGCTGCTTCCACAATGATCTTCAACTTGCCAGTTCTTCTTTCCACAAACGCAGTCAGGTTGGTAACCTTTCCAATGAAGGCTATGAAGTCAATCTTATTAACTATTAAGGTGTCCTTTGAAACAGCACATTTGTGAGAGCAAGATTTCTGAACAGAACTCGTACCTGTGTCTGGACCAACATAAGCAACATTTCCTACAGTAGGTCCACTTACTCCAGGAGTAACCTTATAATCTCCATCATTCTGCCTAACAGTTCCACCAATCTGCCTTGCAGCCTCTGCATAAGAGACAATTTGAGTGATTTTATATATTTGAGCCCCTAGCCTCTTTCTGCACCTGGCATCCACCAAATGCCGCACTGTGTTGCCCCCCACAATTACAACATTTAACCTTGACATTGTTCCCACATTCACCATAATCATGTTCCCCTCCATACTTGGCACATCTTTTCTTTTCTTTGCACAGAGCCGCTACATGTCCCATTCTTTGTTATTTAAAACACCTTAATGGAGGTGGGACAAACTCTAACAGTGAAAGCCATGGCATTTCAAAGTAACATTATCACGTGGTCAATGACATCTGAAGCTTGGTTTGATCACGTTTTTTCAAATCGTGTGTTGTAAAATGTGAGATCCCACTGATTTCGCCATGTTTCTGGTGCTTTCTTCTATTCTAAGCTGCTTTCAAATGCCGACCTTTACTTGACACCGTATTTACAATGTACTTAGGATTTTTTCATGTAGTGTCACCTGATTGGTAGCTTAGCAGGTAGGGTTTGGGGACTCAGGGACAAGAACACTCTCAGACCACAGTGAATTGGGTCGAATCCTGGTGAAGGCATTTTATTTTGAAAATAGTGACACCACACTTTCTGCACATTTTTGTTCAAACAATTTGTTTTATGTAGTAAAGTATAAGCTTCTATCCTAAATAATGTCATAGATTCACAATTTCTGACAGCAAAAAAACGGTATTCACAGCAAAAAAGGAAAGCATGATGGAAGGTGCGAACCTGTAACAGTAGCTAACTGATAATAGGTGACTAACCACTGCACCACTGAGATATGATGTACTGTGCAATAAACTTCTATATGAACATCAAACCCTGCTTTTCATTGCTGACCAGCGGATATCACTAATTTGCATTATGTTAAAAGCTCAGAGTAATCAACCATTTTTCGGCACAATTTGGTGAAAGCCCCAAAGGCTTCAGAAAGTCTCTGTTTCCCATCACGAAGGCTCTGGGAAACGAGGCCCTGTTCAATTATTGTGGTGCCTATCTTCAGGAGAGGACCCCTGACATCTGAGCGATCTTAATGCACTTTGTATCCAGTTGCTTCCTCCCACAGGCTCGCGCTCGCAGTCAAACGTCATCCATCACGGAGAAACGGAACCAGCAGAGAGCCTCGTCATAATTGGCTTCGGTATAGCTCAGTGCCTCGTTTCCCAGTTGCGATGTAACTTAAGCATTACGATGATCGTACCAGTTGCATCGTTATTTTATGAGCAAACTTTTTAAGAGTGTTTCCCAAACAAGCCTGTAGAGAGAACGTTCGCTAAGTACGTCGTTAGACCATGTGTCGATATTGATAGGATCGAAAGAAAAGCAATGCCGCTCTCGGATCAGCCTTCACTCATATCTTACCTTAGCATTATAATGATTCCACAATAGTGACAATGGATCAGCAGGTCCGGGACAGGGTAGCACATCCGGTGAAGAGTTCAGGGTTCCATACCCGCAGGCAGAACCGCAGAAACTGGATCAGCAGCACGACCCAATAGTGTGCAACTGCAGCCCGCAATGCAGGAACACCCCCCTCGAGCATCACATTGGTTCCTGCATGAACACCCCCCTCGATCACCCCATTGGTTCCTGCATGAATGCTAGCTAGCGGGAGCGACACAGGTAGACAGTGTCCTTCACTCCCACCTGCCGAACACCTGCCCTCACCATGTTAAAAGAACTGCGGGAAAACAGTGCCTGACAGGTGGGGGCAAAGGACACTGTCTTCCGGTCGCCCCCGCCTCCCGCCTCTCGCTAGCACAGCAGGCGGGAGGCTGGGGCGACACCATGTGCTAGCTAACTAGCTAGAGTTGTTAGCGACACCGTGTCGCCCTCGCCTGCTGTGTGCTGGAGAAAACCATGCCTGACAGGCGGGGGGCGAAGGACAATGTCTACCGGTCGCCCCCGCCTCCCGCTTGCACAGCAGGCGGGAGGCTGGGGCGACACTGTGTGTTAGCTAACTAGCTAGCTTGCTAGTTAGGGACACCCGGTGCTAGCTAGCATGCTAGTTAGCTAGCTAGCACACAGTGTCGCCTCCCGCCTGCTGTGTACCGGACTATCTGGCTAAGCTAGCACAGTGTCCTTCGCTCCTGCCTGCCGAACACCTGCCCTCGCCGTCGTCAACAGAACTGCGGGAAAACAGTGCCGACAGGCAGGGACGAAGGACACTGTCTACTAGTGTACAGCTAGCTAGCTACCGTTGTCGCCACTGCCCCTTATTCTGTGGGGTTTATCAGTAGCTGGCATCCAACATTACTGTGCATTAACGCCGCCTACTGTACTGGAGTGCCTCCACCTGTCCTACCTTAAAAAATGACTAATAAAAGCATAAATTCCTGCAGATGCAGGAACGCCCCGAATAGCTGGCAGCAATTGCCCTTCTAGCACAACCAGGTGGACTGGGGACTGGACAGCCAGGAGTCATCAGGCCAGGTAGTCCTGAGGCATGGTCCTAGGGCTCAGGTCCTCTGGGAGGGGAGAGAGAGAGAGAGAGATGGGTAATTTAGAGGGAGCATACCTAAGATAACACAGGACACCAGATAAGACAGTGGAATTAAGCCTCAATAGCCTATTTGCAGGAATAGGTGGTAATGTCTCTCTAGGAGCTGATCCCTCTCAATATTGTCGAATAATTATAATGGTAAGGTAAGATTTGAATGGAGAAAGCTGATCTGAGAACAGGGCTGCTATTTCTTTCGATTCTATCAGTATTGACACATGGTCTAGTGACGCACTTGTTACATCACAACTGGGAAACGAGGCCCAGAGCCCTTAATGAAAAAGTAGACAGCAGGAGTCTTAAAAAGTCTGACAGGCTTTTGTTTCAAACTGGGAAACCCAAAGGCCTAATGATTGTTGTTTTTTATTGATTCTTTAATGGGTGTTATTCACTTTATACTATTTTATAACTATCTGCGTCTCAAATGCATCAATATTTTTGTTCTAACCCTTTTCTGGATCTGACCTTTTACCCAAGTAAACGTATTTTGTCCTTTAAATGTTCCTTTTACAACAGGCCATAAATCTGACCTGCTGTTATTTTAAGATTATATCTGCTCTTTCCAGGGAACAAGACACGTTCCGACCATGCACTTTTACGCACAATGTAGGAAGGAAGCGTTTTCACTGCTCGGTTAAAACTGTTCGTTATCTCTATAACGAAAGGTTGACTTTATTTGGTGAATAGTGCAGGTTTAGCTCTCTATCAAGATGGAGGTTGATTTAATTTAATTTCCAGCCAGGCATTTCAGCACACATGCGTACACATTCGTGAATGTGTTGAAAACGGACCATGTTTATTTATTTTCTTAATTAAATTCAAATATAAATACAATTTGAATCAAATTAATCCAGTATGGATCTAGAAGCCTACTTGTTGCAGACCCCACATTTTGTTTTTGTTTTCAATTTACCTGGATATTGTTGAAACTCTTACTTGTTGATCAGACATTTGGTTGTAGACCATTTTGATGATGACGATGATGATGATGATGATGATGATGATGATGATATTGGGATGATAACCTCTTTAACCCAATATAATATTCTATTTACCAAGGTAAGAACCCAGTAGGCCTACTTTCTAAACGCCCCCAACGCTCGTCGACTCGAATCATTCTTCATAATGGCTACACCATGCTCTACAATGGTGAGATATATTGCGGATTTACTGTAATGCGCACAAGCCAAGCCTTTCGTATGGGTGCGATAGTGTCCTCATATGAATTCAGAGGACACCCCATTTGAAAAACGTCTTCAAACTGAAAGAATCTTAACTTTAACTGCACAGGAAATATAGAGACTAACATCCTGATAACCCTGTCTACAATGTAGGTCTACAAGTGGAATATGGAATATTCATTAGTGCACCAACCACGGCAGTTAAAGGTGAGGGGATGTGTTCTTCTTCTGTGCGTTAGATAATCGACTAAACAAGTAGGCTATAGAGTAGACTATATATTTGAATCAAGTAAGTTACAAACAATTTCAAAGTTTTAAATTACATTTATTAAAAAGGAACAACTCAGTGAACAAGAAGAAAATATTGTCAATATACAATATCACTTATGAACAAACGTACAACACTTTTTCACTGAACAGTGAAATATCATATTCTTACATTTGTACATTATGCTGTTTAAATCAGATGTTATTTCCTACTATAAACAAGATCCTTAAATAATGGAGTGGTACTAACTGCTATAAATATTTGCTGCCCTTTTCAACTTTGCCCTAAAACAATTGAATGCCCTCGCAAGAAAGTGCAACATTTAAGTAATTGTAATTCAAATGAATGAAAAAATAGTAGTAAGTGTGATTTTAAGTGTTTAAACACTTGACCTACATGGCTTGATAATTAATTGTTCATAACTGTTTTAAAGTGCAGCGGACCTCTATTTGGGGAACATATTGGCTATCAATTAGCATATAAAAAAATAAATGCATTATCATCAGCTATGATATTATACAATTCTGAAATCATACGGCCTATACTTTGTTCCATCTGAAACAAATAGGGACATTGTTGTAAAAGAAACAGCAGTAATTGGAAAATTATCTCGTATTAATTCGATTTTATAAAGAAAAAACAATTACATTTTCAATAGCTTTAAAACATACATAAATAACTTTCACTCATTGGGGAAACATAAATTACACAGAAATCTGTACAGGTAACCTGTTAACCATTTCACAAAACATTGTGCAGTCTTTGCCATAGCCCTATACGTGTCAAAATCTCAATCATCTATTTTACTGGATTCTTGGTCGCTCTGATCATCGGTGAAGCATACATCAACGTCGCTGTCATTGTCGCTCTTTTGCTCGTGATCCTCGAATATGCCCTCGGTTTTGTCCTCAGCTTTTTTTATTGTTTGTCCAGGGTGCCTCGATTTGACATGACGCTCCAAATCCCTCCGGCGCACCAGCACCTTGCCACAGAACTCGCACCTGTACGGGGTGTTCCCCTCCGCGTGCAGACGGATGTGCTTATTCAGGTTGCTGGGGTCACCGAAGGGCCGAAAACAAACTTTGCACTTCAATGGTTTGTACCCTGTGTGAGTTCTCATGTGGATCTTGAGTCCGTATTTCCGAGAGTACAGTTTACCACAGTAAAGACATAAGTGTCCCTTTTTGGGCTTCCCTGAGCCTGTGTTAGCAGTGGGCATAGAGTCGAGCCTGGCTCGGTTCTTTTCGACGGCTATTTCAGACAACTGTTGAGTGTGCATGGCTATCTCCCTGTCAATGTTGGTTATTGAACCCAGGTCTTGGTTGAGTGCAGGTGCGCCAAAGTAGGACATAGACTCCGGGTATTTTAGGAGATTGCTCAAATGGAATTTCAGTGGGTAGTAGGGTGAACTATAAAGCAGCTCGCCATTGTACACGGTGAATGGCATGAGGGGGATATTGCAATCTCCATTATATGGCTTGACGCCATCGAACTGAGGCAGAGAAAACCTCTCAAAATGGAATCCAGAGGACATCTGAGAGTAGCGTGAGGGGGACAGTCCAGAGTGCATCCTGCTCTCCACGTGCTTAAAAGCCGATGTCTCCTCGAAATTAGGTATTAACGGAAAACCCCTGATGGCGTTTGCGCACGGGACTACGGGAGATGTGGAGGGATGGCTTCCGGTCAAAGGTTCATTCAGGGCTCGCGTCGATTTCATGTTCCCCAGGAGTTTGCTGAAGCCTAGTCCATTATGCTTTCCCATTACTTTCCTCTCTGTAGACGTCAGCCACGGGGACCTTGGATTGGCCCATGGGCCTGAATGCAGAGCGCACACCTGGGTTGAACCCCATGTTGCTCAACATTGAAGACGTTGCGCCAAGGCCCATGAGATGTCCGTGGTTTCTGGCTGAGGTAACACTCATGTCAAGTGCTCTGTCCTGCTCCTCAGAGCTGGGTTTCTTTGCTACCCCCGTTTTGTTGAGGAAGGGTGAGGAATACACGGTCCGTCTGACAGAGTCTGAGATGGAGGTGTTGTGGCCGTTCCTGGGCGAGGCCGAGGTGTTGGGAATGTCCCCGGATTTGGGTGACCTGCTGAAGCTGTCTGTGCCCCTGGCCTGCTCGCTGTTCACAAAGCCCCGCCCGTTGCTCAGAGCGCAGTGGAAATGGACGTGGGCCTTGAGTGTGTTGGGATATTTAAATATTCTCCAGCAGTACCAGCAAATGTAACGTTCTTCACCTGTAGAGAAGCACAGAGACATGAGGTTAATATCGATGGGTCTCCATATTCCCGAATCTCCCCACTTCTGTCAATAAAGCGCTTTCAAACCTGAACATTTGTGTTCCTACACATTTCTATCTATTGCTTTGTGAGTGTAGAAGCCTATTATCTGGTGCTTTATGACTGATGTTCCATCTGTAGATGCTCCCAGTGGCCTATTAGAGTAACCTCAAACTGTACGGTTATTTTGTGCCACATGCAAATCTTTTCCATATACCATTTAAATGTTTTGGATAAATCCCTTGAGATGAATCGACTCATTTCCAATGGGATTCAGGTTTTGAATAGGCGACAGAGTATATTAACCCTATCCACCTCATCAAACGTGAGCAATGACACAAGTTGAACAATAGGAGGTCAATTATATAGATGTAATGATTTTGTAATCCTTATAGGGCTGTTGTTTATCATCCCCATCAAAAGAGCAAACGCCCCGTCCAATCTGTCGCTCCGAAACCAATACGTTGAATAGGGGGACTTTCTCTGTGCTCTTTCCCGTGGAAATGACAGCAGCTGTTGCTTGAAATCGCAAATCGCCATAGACAATAAGGCTAGCCCATCTGTTAACGCCAAATAATAGGACACGTATGTCAAGGAGCGCACGCTGTATTGGCCGGAGAGCAGCAGAAAGTGCTTCGCCACAAATCAGGGCAATATACATCCCACATAAAAGTTAGCATTCATTAGGCAACAATACCTTATGTAGCCAGCTAATTTACCGTAAAGCACCTTTTTTGAAATTATTTGCTTTTGAATACATTAATATTAATGAGGCGATGACATTTGTTAACCTCTGTCCCCCTATGAATTACTATCGTCTGCTTTGATGATTGTTAAAACACGCCTATTCCTGCTTTTAAATTGCGGGATTTATTCCATGTGCCTGTCACTGTAATTAGTGTAACAGTCGAATATAATTTTGGTAGGCTATATCTTGAAAATTATTGTCATGCCCTCCATTTCACATGCCCTATTTTTCTCAGACAGAGTAATTACACACACTCTTAGAAAAAAAGGTTCTAGATAGAACCAAATAGGGTTCTATTGCTTGCTTCATATATGGCACCCCTAAAGGTTCTATATAGAAACCCTTTGTAGGGTTCTTTGATCAGAACCCCAGGGGTTCTTCTTCACTGAACCAACATTTCGTTTCTGTATAGAACCTTAAAGGGTGCCATATATGCAGCAAGCATAGAACCCTTTTTCGTTCTATCCAGAACCGTTTTTTCTAAGAGTGTCTAGGCATTATAATTTAATCTAAACACAGTTATCGAATTTTCCTGAGTTGGCGGTATGTGTAATCTAATTAAAACTGGATTATTTCGCTGGTGATTTTATGATTAGGCTATAATTCGATAGGCCTATAAACCTATGGCATCGACGCCACTGTTTGAATATCCAGAGAATTGTTTTGGGGAAAAGTTATTATTATTATTATTATTATTATTGTTATTTTCTGTTTATTACACTAGCACAACGAAGCCTAGTAGGTGGTGGTTGGGCCTATTGCTGTCTGTTTTACACATTTTCATTTAAAATGATGAAAAACAATTCGATTTTATTATTGAATTGTTTAACATGAAATTCTGTCAAGCCTATTTAGTTAACAAGACCATTTAACTTTTTAATGTAAATAAAACCATCAAATGACCCCGGAATCGAAATGTATGCTCTGGGGATGCACATTTGTCAACCGTGAAAATATAGGCCTACAACCTTTCCACATAAATTGATTATAATAGCTGGATGCCAAGGTTTGGACAGTCACTTAACTGTGCAATGATGGAACTCACAAAATGTCAATGCCAGTAAGCAGCATCAGCAGGGCTATACTGTAGCCTAATCCATTTCTATTAAAACTTTTGTTTGGACAAGACCACATAATGATACATGTGAATTTCGATCGTGCATAAACTGTTGAACCACCGGCAAACAAATATACATCATATTAACAACATGCCATTTAGCAGACGACTTTTATCCAAAGCGACTTACAGTCATGTGTGCATACATTTTTACGTATGGGTGGTCCCGGGGATCGAACCCACTACCCTGGCGTTACAAGCGCCATGCTCTACCAATTGAGCTACAGATTGAGCTACTTTTCTCATCGTTTTTAAAGGGTCATTCTACAGTTGTCTTACCTTTCTCGTCGTGTGTTGGAGTGGCAGTGGCAGGGATGTCGTACCACCTGGCCAGAGTGTTGGAGTACCACACACTCAGCTCCTCGCCTGCTGGGATCTCCGTCAGCACACGATAGAAAATCTAACGTCAAAGGGCAACGTTAGATACATGCAACTAACTGTTTCGGCTTGTGTAAAACAATAAAATAATCAAATGACTTGAGCTTTATGCATTTTTAAATAAAGCACAGTACTGACCTGCCCACCAGGTAGATCTGAGACAGCCTCCAAGTTCTGTTCTTGACTGTTTCTGGCCGCCCGGATACACCCAATCCATTCTGGCACAGGGCAACCTGATTCATCCACGAATTCTCCCCTCAGCAGCCGAATCTAGATCCACAACATGGATGGTTCAACGCTAGAAATGACGCTAACAAGGCCTAACATTCGATAAAATCATAGATCACTAAAAGGCCGGCAGCCGCAGCTTATAATAGTTTATGAATAAATCATGAACAGAGCTGCATATTTGACATTGCAACGTCACGCTTGACTGCAATTGCAGCAAAAAAAAGCTTTGTGTTTCTTTTCGTATAGGCTTAGCACAAATCAATATTAAAGGCTTTAGTTTTAGAAATATTGGTTTATTAAATATTGAATTAATCGTTTGTAAATAGTATTGTTATTATGCCCAATGGCTATCTGATAGGCTATAGCCTACCTTGATGTGTGCCAAAGCGTTTAATGCGTCTTTATCTGCTATGTTAACCAGCGGTGATAATTTACCAGGGAGAATGACACATAATTGAGTTGATATGGGAAACGAATTTGAGAGGTGTCAAAGGGTCTCTAAACTGTTCAAGCAAATTAAAGATTGAAGCGTGACATTTGACACGGAGATTGCACCTGATGCATCACATGAAGCCCAGGGCGATGCATTTAGTCGCATCAATCACAAACGTCGACAACAGTGTGAAGGCCTATGCCTATATTTATAATGCAGTTTTAATGTAGGGTACTTATCTATTGGTTTGTTTAAGACCATAAACTCACCAATAAACAATTAGCCTGTATAAAAAATTATGTTAAATAAATGAATAAACATTCAATTAAAATAGAAATAGCATCCATTTCTGGTAGTTCCATATTGTATTAAGAACGATATGTGTTGCAGGAATGTTATTTTAGATGTTCTATACATTTCTATAGGCTATATTTTAGCATTTCTTATCCATGTTCTTATTTTATAGCTCGAGGCTGTGGTCTTATGCCTTAGCATCTTTCCATGGCCGGATTGCATAAAGATTAAATGGTTCATTGGAATATCTAGCCTACTAGAAATTTAAAGCGGGCGAGGAAATGAAATCTCACACAACACCCCAGGTTGCCCTATTAGGGCGGTTATGTAAAGGCACAGAGTGACAAGTCGTCCCACTAATATAACTCAATTATTTCCAACCTGACAGCACGAACCAATTAATAACCGAAGGCCCAATGAACTTTGACAGGTCTGGTTCAAAATGTTAAAAAAGATCACTGTGTCCCCTTTACCTGCCCTGATAATTAAATATAGGTCCTATAGAAAGAAAATAATGTTTTCGAAATTCATTTTTCTAGTTTTATCTTTCATTAGGTGAATGATTCCCCTAAAGTTTCCATTATTCTTATTAATCTTGTACATAAATAATAATATGAGTATTAATATAGGCCTAAAAGTGATAATGATAATAATAATCAAATGATTTGTCATTCAAATAGGAAAATAATTAAAACAATGCCACAGTATGTATGGGCTGTCGACAATTTTTTCTTCCGATAGTTTGTAATTCAATTCTGAAGCCTGCAAAAATCATTCTACAAAAAGCAGAATTGTAAAAAAGGAATATTTGCAGATGGAAATAATTAGGAATAAATCATATTTCATGCGATAATAAAAACGGTGCTTACCTTTTTCTTGGTTACGACCTCTTTGCGATCAGTCACGTATTTCCCTAGTTTGAAGATGCCCGGCACCGGTCCTATCCGCAGGCCGGTCGGGATGCTGCAGTCTGCAAACACACTGATAGTGGATGCCCGCGTTGCTTGCATGGCTGGCTCTGCGTGCAGTGGTTTGAGAACCATGAAGACCACGCAGTGACTGATTGAGACAAGAAGTAGTCACAGAGATGAGGACAGGCCAATCTCCGCCCGCAAAGTGATGCGGTGGCGTATGTGATCCGGCTTTTCTAATGGAGCAGCAAGGTACCCCCTCGACACATTAACGCGCAAGGGCGAGCAGTATGCGCGCGGTGTGAGAGAGTTTGGCTCTTTCGGCAGCTGTGGGGAGAAAACGGGCCGAGATGGTCACATGGAGACTTTCCCTCACCCTCGCATATAATGAATTGCTCCAAAAACGGCCAGGAGACAATGGGCCAGGCGACCTTCCCATCCCCAAAATCCAATTTGTCAAGGGCAGAGAAAAAAGAGTGCAGAATCAAAGGTCTGGAGCTACCATTAATCCTCAGCATGTGGCTTTGTACCCCAGACAGCTCCGATATTTTAACTGACAAATCCACTGTATAATTTCTCCATAAATTCTCCCCTTTTTATTGTTCCTTTACAAACCAGTTTTTGGAAATCAGTCACTACTTTAAATCTACTTGGCTGCGTTATTTTGGGTTTATATACTTCAAAGCACTTTATTATCTCCGTTTGGCTGCATTGTGTGTCCCTAGTTTAACAAAAGGAGCAGGAATGTTTGGAAGACTTGTTAACTTCTATTGACTCCCGGCGTGTGCCGGGTTGAGATCGGGCAGGTACCAGAACCACCAGAAAAATAGCAACAGCTTTCAAAATAACCACCATCTTATCATTTCACACTTGTGGTTTTCTTGTCATGAATTCACTCCAGACGTTTTCATTCAGCTGTGACATGGCACAACACAGACCTTCATAACTTTGACTTTAAGTTGCCACAGCTGAATGAAAACGCCACAGTTTTGAGTTTGATCATTTAAATTTCATCTAATTATTTATTTCAAAAAAATCTTATTTTAAGATGTTTTGAGTTTTTTTTATTAATCCTTTATTTAAGCAGGGAAGTGACGTTGAGATTGGCATCTCTTTTTCAAGTGAGCCCTGCTATTTTAAGAGCATATTTTATATTTTACATTATTATATCATAATTTCTATGCTTGTTATAAACTTCCATTTTGTTTTCTTTTTATTGATACACTCAAATACGAATCAATACATTAGTCAATAAAACCATTTATTTATGATGTGTTTTTCTTAGGCTACTATTTGTATTAGATTACTGGCTATTGGATGCTCAAATCCTCTGAATTAACTTTCAGTGTTTTAGGTGGGAAAACTTCACTAGTTCTACTTATAAGCTACAATAGGCCTGCCTATATTATGAAATACTAGTATACTAGGCTGAGTATAGGCCTACTCAGTATTCTGTACAGCCTAAATTCCATAGACGATGGAAAAAAATGCATAGGCCTATCATTATTAGGCCTACTTGAAAGAAACCTCCAGTCGCTTTTTCACCACAGGTTTTAAAACTGCGATTGATCCATTGATCATCTGGCGTTGAAGTCTCAACAGAGGGCGAGATAGTGGGAACAAGAACCTGTGGGCGATAAATTCAGGCCATGAACATGTCCTGCTAACCTCTGCCCTGGCGACTCTGGGATGACACTGCGCCATAATTGAGGGGGGGAGAGATGGGGTCTCTCTCTAGCCACGTAAAGGTATCCCACTGCTCCATTCTGTAAGGCTTCTCTTCTCCCAGCTTCACGAGTCAAAGAGCGTGAACGACACGCGAACAATTTCATCAATAGGCGTATGCAAAGGCCGGCTGTGCAGAGGGTTATTTATTAATGTTGCCATTTGTGACTGGTTCCCATCCACCCGGGAATAACGGGTCCGGCCTCCAAATCTCTCACACCAGTCGGCCCGATTCTCATTCCGATCCTGTGGCTCAAAGTCGAAGTTCTCAAAGTTAAATTAATTATTCTCAGAGGGGGAACGGGAGACATTTCCTTTCTGTTTGCTAACCCTCGAAAAGTAAGGGTGAATCCCATTCCAATGCGCGCACTGAAGCACGGTGAACAGTCAAAGGCTCGGTGTCAGAAGTGAAAGCAGTGTTCGAAACAAATGGGATGGAAAATGAAATGAAATTAAATAGCTTGACCGGCGGTATTGTCCTCCTCTTTTTAAAAGACACATTAATTACATGGTCGCAGCTTTATTCGAGAACAATATTGCGGAGTCAATCACAATATTCCACAAAGCCTTACTTACTCTCTTAACGAACTTCGCATCTCTTTAATGATTTTAAATAACGACCATTGAAGAGTTGGACCTTGAGCGGAGGGAGACGTTTTTATAGGAGTTGGCCTATTTCGCTTTGCCCGGGTCCTCCAGATTAGAGTGCCAGCACTTCAATTTTACAATCCCATCGTAATGTGGGGTTTTGATTTAACAGGTTGGCCCTTAATGAGCCATGAATGTAGAGGAACAACCAGTGTGTAAAGCAGCGCGGTTATGGGGACCAATGCCCCACCAGGGAACTCAATTCAAGCTCCTTAACTACCCGAGAGTGCCAAGGGTTCAACACTCTTCTTCTGGACCGGTTACAATACCATTTCAGTCCCACCGGGCTCCCAGGAAAAATAAGTAGACCATAAACTTTGCTCAGGCCTTTTCAAATGACCAAATCATTGTTCCATTTAAACTTAGCCTGGTAGGTAATTTTTTCCCATGTATAATCATGTGTTGGGTAGAAGGGGTAGCATTGCATTTTACACACAATGATTCTTATATTTTGTTATTTAACCTTTATTCAGATTGTCTATTTTATGCTTATTGCTTTTACTATATCATTTTCAATGTGATAAAGTGGGAAAGTGGGCAAAAAGTGCAAAGACGAGACAAAGTTTCATATTCAACCATCATCAGTGTCACATTATTGGCTCCATGTTTGCCAAACTGACATAGTGACATTTCGTGAAATATGGTGGCATTCTGATACTTTTCCCCCCTTCATTTTTTGTGTAGCATGGACCAGGGGTGTCATGCACCACACAAATCTGAGGGGGCACAATTAAAGTATGTGAGGATGGCTGGGGGGTGGTTCGAAGGGGGGCTAGGCATCGTCCATAAAGTGGAGAATTTTGCATTTTTCAAACACCTGAAACACATTTTTCCTACAGTCTAGAGCCATAATCATTATGCTTAATTTTTCTTCATATCTAAGCATACATATTGAGCTGTCTTTATCCTTATTTTTTTTAAAGAAACTAAATTTGGTTATATATTGTTGTTGTTTCTCTCTCTCACGCTCTCTCTCGCTCTCTCTCTCTCTCTCTCTCTCTCTCTCTCTCTCTCTCTCTCTCTCTCTCTCTCTCTCTCTCTCTCTCTCTCTCAATTCAATTCAATTCAATTTAAGGGCTTTATTGGCATGGGAAACGTATGTTATCATTGCCAAAGCAAGTGAAGTAGATAGTAAACAAAAGTGAAATAAACAATACAAATTAAAAGTAAACATTACACTCAGAAATTCCAAAAGAATAAAGACATTTCAAATGTCATATTATGTCTATATACAGTGTTGTAACAATGTGCAAATAGTTAAAGTACAAATGGGAAAATAAATAAACATAAATATAGGTTGTATTTAAAATGGAGTTTGTTCTTCACTGGTTGCCCTTTTCTTGTGGCAACAGGTCACAAATCTTGCTGCTGTGATGGCACACTGTGGTATTTCACCCAGTAGATAAGGGAGTTTATCATTCTAGTTTGCTCTGTTTTTTTGTTAATTCTCTCTCCCTCTCTCTCACTCTCGCTCTCTCGCTCTCTCGCTCTCTCGCTCTCTCGCTCTCTCGCTCTCTCGCTCTCTCTCTGGGCATGACATCTCTAGCATGGACAATAGCCAGGTCTACTAGGGGAACAAGTGCATTTTCATAAAGAGCATGCTTTAAAGAATGAGACCCAAAGAGCAACGTATTTTACTTTTGTAATTTCACACCTCAGACATGGTGTCTATCCCTTTTAATGATAATATTACCATCATTATGTGTTTCACTTTTAGGAAATTCCACAGGCTTTATTTAATGCGCTTTGCCATCTAAAACTGGGAAAATGCATGCTGCACAAGGGGTGGACCAGCTGCTTTGCAGACAGGGGATGCGGGTGGGACATACTGACTCTTTTGAATAGTAGGCCTAATTATGCTTGTATGGGAGTCCCACCAGATGACATGATTGGGATTTTAACCCAGACTAATATTCAAAATCGCATTAAAGAGTGGCGAAATAAGTGCCAACTGATTCGACGCTGTTCATGCGTGCTCTCATTTTTAAACGCTCCCTTTTTAGAGGAGGGCCGCTCCATTTCAGTATTCAAAGTCTTCAACAAAGTTTGCGCCGGCTTTTGAACCAAATTTCCCTGACTTTAACTCACTTGTCTCGGTTGAGGAGACCGGGATAATGGGGTGTAAAGTTGTTTGAATTGAAAATTTGTTTCGGTGTACCTTATAAATTCATACCTTTTCTCACTCGACCGCCTCAGAATGAAACTGTCACTCTATTCGATTTTCTCTGCTGTCGAGCACATTTAGCGCGAACTCTATTTGTGAAGTTCATTCCTAGGCAAATGTATTCAGGGAGGGCTCGAGATGAATAGCGTGGCGTGTCAGCCGCCCCTAATTGGGATTAAGGCACTTAAAACATATGCATAAAGTGACAGAAATTCACAGGTTTCAAAGAAGTCAAACTTTTGTCCTTCGAGCACACTCAGAGCTTTATGTTTAGGCTATAATTATGAAATAATATGGAATTTTGGAATGTTGTGTGTGGAATAGCCTATAGCCTATGTTGCGCATGCACGTTTTTCGCTGGATGCATGATGTGTAACGTGTGTCTTAGCCCTCTTGCTTCTGGTATGCACTATATGTAAATAATTAGAATTAGACATTGGCTGCTTATCAAAGGTAGGACTAAAGCACTCATTTGCTGCTTTCTGCTAATTGAAAAAATAACATCACAAATTATATTAGGAAAAAGTATGTTTCCATGTAAAGGCTCTCAATGAAGGTACAGAGGAGGTCAAAATAATATAATATGTTCTTGGAATTGTAAATCAACAAGGAACGTGCGTTTCAGTAGCCTACAGATATTAGATTTTATCATTGTATTCTCATAGGCCTAATTGTTAGTTTAGTTTACATAGGCCTACATTTGACTGATTTGACTGATATTAATTTCTTAATTTATCATACAGGACTATTAACAACAGTTTTTATGTTGTGTTTTGTCAAGCTTATAGCCTAAATTAATTATTCAGTAGAAAATCCATCAAGTCTATTGTTAAGGCATAATTTGGGGAGGAATATTAGTATTTACAAAAATATAAGGGAGATCTTTATTTCTCCATTCACAATGAGGACTATCTTCCTTGCTCAAGCAACAACTAGGCTACATTTTGATAAACGACAATATAGCCTACCTTTCTCTATTAAATGCATTTCACAAAATCACAGTAATCATTTACTTAGCCTAGGCCTACATAGAATATAATTTTTTAGTTGAACATGCATGTGTCAATATAAGGGATTTAACAAGGCCTAATTTTAGGATAATTCAAGTATTTAGTCTACTTCAGCGACAAAGTGTTTGTGCTTTTATTTTTCTATTTTTCAGACATTTCTCTAAATCGGTCAAATTCAGGGGGCTTTATTCCAAGAGCATGATTTATAGGCCTATGACAAAGTTAGTGCAGGAACTTTGCATATGCATAGGCTACTTCAATTGACTAGATTTAAGCTACTTTTCATTGCCATTCTACACAATAACTGGTTGTTAGTGGACTAATATTTATTTTAAGCTATTTATACTGAACAAAACTATAAAGGCAACATGCAACAATTTCAAAGATTTTACTGAGTTACAGTTCATATAAGGAAATCAGTCAATTGAAATAAATTCATTAGGCCCTAATCTATCGATTTCACATGAATGGGAATACAGATATGCATCTGTTGGTCACAGAAATCATAAAAAAAGGTAGGGGCGTGGATCAGAAAACCAGTCAGTATTTGGTGTGACCACCATTTACCTCATGCAGTGCAACACATCTCCTTCGCATAGAGTTGATTAGGTTGTTGATTGTGGCCTGTGGAATGTGGTCCCATTCCTCTTCAAAAGCTGTGCGAAGTTGCTGGATATTGGCGGGAACTGGAACACGTCAATCCAGACCATCCAAAACATGCTCAATGGGTGTCATGCCTGGTGAGTATGCAGGCCATGGAAGAACTGGGACATTTTCAGCTTCGAGGAATTGTGTTCAGATCCTTGCAACATGGGGCCGTGCGTTATCATGGTGAAACATGAGGTGATGGAGATGGATGAATGGCACGACAATGGGCCTCGGTATCTCTGTGCATTCAAATTGCGATCGATAAAATGCAATTGTGTTTGTCCATAGCTTATGCCTGCCCATACCATATCCCCACCGCCATTGACATCATCAAACCGCTCTCCCACATGACACGGTACACGTGGTCTGCAGTTGTGAGGCGGGTTGGATGTACTGCCAAATTATCTAAAACGAAGTTGGCTTATGGTAGAGAAATGAACATTAAATTATCTGGAGTCTCCAGCACCCACACCCCCAGCACCCACGCCTGCAGTCAGCATGCCAAGCACACTCCGTCAAAATTAGAGGCATCTGTGGCATTGTGCTTGTGTGACAAAACTGCACATTTTAGAGTGGCCTTTTATCGTTCCCAGCACAAGGTGCACCTGTGTAATGATCATGCTGTTTAATCAGCTTCTTGATATGCCACACCTATCAGGTGGATGGATTATCTTGGCAAAGGAGAAATGCTCACTAACAGGGATGTAAACGTATTTGTGCACAACACTTTTGAGAAATAATATTTTTGTGCATATGGAAAATGTCTGGGATCTTTCATTTCAGCTCATGAAACATGGGACCAACACGTTACATGTTGCCTTTATATTTTTGTTCAGTATATGTTCGATTTTCAGCAGACGATGGAATGTGCTTGACAGAATAATGGCTAGCTCCCGATTGTGCCTGCGCCACGTCAACGCATCTCGACGCAGAGGTCACTCGCAGGACTATGGCTCTTACTTATCTCTTAATTATATTGATAATACACTGCATCCCATCATATTGATGAAGGCTATTTTTCGCTGGTTTTCTATTTCGCAAGTAGTCCTACAAGACCCGAGTCTCATTTAGGTTGGATGCACATTAAGTAGCGAACAAAATGTAATCTAATGATATGAATCAAGGCCAATCAGAGTCGAGAGAACGTCTGTCTGGCTCTTCCTCATTAGAGCGCGGGATTGACAGTTCTAGGTTCAACTATAATCTCCTGTGCGCTTCTACGGAGAAACAACAAGAGAGTTAGAGTCCTGTGTACTGGCTATTAATTGCGCCTGTGTTTCGGGTGGGATGAGCTTGTGGAAATGATGACCCAGGGACATAGGCGGCTATTGATTAATTCGATATATGCCTACATCTATCTCGTGCATGCTCCTGAATCATCCGGATAATTGCTGCATTAAAATGATTTGAGCTGGATTGGGATCTATAGCCTACAAATAGGCTACATTCGTATTTTACAAATGCATGTGCATCTTACTGTAGACCCAGCATGTTTTTCTTTGTGCTTGACTACATATTAAGTAACATAACCCCCTGACTCTGAAATTGTATTTACAAAAATAAAAATAAAATGTTCCCCTCCCCAGATTGATCAAAAAATTCAAAATCTTTTCGTTCATGATTACAAGTCACTACATTCACACATGATGTCATAAAATACATGTGTGTTTTGTAAAATACATCACAAAGCTGAGTAGCAATTGACCTCAGCTACCACAGGCCTTGTTCTTCAGATAATTGGTATATTTTTTTATATAATGTATATTTTTCCTTTAGAGAAACAGAAACAGAGAGGTGCAGTGTGAGGTAAAAACCATATATTTAAATAGATGTTATCCTATACCCATAGGCCTGGAAATCTGCTCAATACCCTTTCACCTTCTCAAAAATCTTCCTCTTAACATTTTACTTATCTTTCTCTTTTGTATTTTACCTAAATTCATAGCAAAATACTCTTTATTATCCACAAACTGCAGCAGCGTTTATTTTCCTTCACACTCAAATATCAATGTCAAAACACTCCCTGTCAATGTAGGCCTATATCAAAACCAGCAATGGGTCTATCAGTTTACCTTGAACACAACTAATAGTAGGTGAGTGAGGTCTTCCAGATCTACTGATGCTACAGTTCAATAACACATAGGACCGCAGGTGCATTCACATATATGACTAGAATCATGACACTATTCTGATGTAGTACTACTGGTATTCTAATCTCAGTTGTGTTGTATTTGAGTGGATTCGTGTTGCATGACCTTTAGCTGCTCCGATCTGCCTCATGTCCTCTGTGCTGTTGGTCCTCTCCATCATGGGACGCTAACTGTGTTTGGCATGTGCTGACGAGACCCAATCGCTCCCGATCAGTGGTAGATGGAAAAGGTGTGGATATGGATGGAATGGGGACATGGAACGCCTGTGTGCCATCGCTTCGCTGCAAGACCGAAGCTGTATGATGGCCCCTCGAGAGGATGTCAGGGTGAAGGACCCCTCAGGTGACTCTCTTTCTTCACTCATCCCTCGCATTACCTCTCCTTCACCCTCTTTTTGCTCTATTGCACCCTGCCTCTCCACACGCTCATACAACCTGTAGGCCTAGTGTGCAGAACAAGGACCACCTCATATATTCAATGTGAGTGGGTGAGTGAGTGAGAATTTGTGTAACATGGAATGTGTGTAATTTAACCTCTCCTCTCCATGGTACCATATTGATTGTGGTTTTCATTGTGCCTTAGGGAAAGCTTATATGGAAATGCGTTTCAGGATAACATTTTCTATGTTTCATCATGCACAAAAACATTATGTAGCCTAATAACTAAACCAAACTAGACATAATGTAATGAATGAAACAGCAGACACACCAGGAATTGATTGCTGAGAGCTTTATTTGCTGCTTGTTGAGTAGCTGTGTAAGGCACACAGAGGTTCTGAATATGTGGTTCAAAGGCACATTACAAGAGCCGAAGGATACTGCTTGACTAGGCTGCAGGGTCATTCATGGTCTCATGTCTTGGTCAAAGGTCAGAGACCAGACATGGGCCGTCAGTGCAAAGCTCCAGGGGCGTGAGGGGTTAAGCGGTGAGAGGAGGTCACATGGTCATTCACGCCTATTCCTCGTCCGAGTCATCGGCAGCGCCAGAGATGATGTAGGTTTGCTCCGTTGTGTCGCTTTCCAGTGTCTCGTCCTCTGATTTAACTGTTCTAAGGGAAAGCAAAAAATGACCTGGTTGAATAAGTGTCTTTACAAAAGACATGATGTGAAGATTTATTTTTCTCCTCCAGTCATTGTGTTAAACATTCTGACCTAACAATGTTCTGTCCCTGAGCAAGACAGTTAACCCTATGTTCCCTGGGCGCTGATGACGTGGATGTCGATTAAGGCAGCCCCCTGCACTTCTCTGATTCAGAGGGGTTGGGTTAAATGTGGAAGACACATTTCAGTTGAATGCATTCAGTTATACAACAAACTAGATATACCCGTTTCCCTTTCCTAACAAAGGTCAATGATAAGCCTATATTACTCTCATTATTTTTTAAGTGCAGGTTACTTTTACCTGATGAGCACCGTCCTCCTCTCTGTCATCTCCACTGCCTGCTCCTCGTGGGAGTACTCCATGGAGGCGCCGTATCCATATTCACCTGCACCTTTTCCAATGCCTCCGCCCATGCCTCCACCCATTCCTCCACCATTGCCTCCAGGACCCATGGCTCCAGCACCCATGCCTTTAGCACCATTGCCTCCAGCACCCATTCCTCCACCGTCCATGCCTCCACCCATTCCTCCAGCACCTGTGCTTCCAGCTCCTAGGCCTCCAGCACCCACACCCCCAGCACCCACGCCTCCAGCACCCATGCCTTTGGCTCCAGTTCCTCCAGCTCCCATTCCTCCACCATTCCCACCACCCATGCCTCCAGCTCCACCCCTGCCTCCAGCACCATTTACTCCTGTACCCATGCCACCAGCTCCCATCCCTCCAGCACCCATTCCTCCACTGAAGCTTCCAACACCCATTCCTCCACCCATGCCTCCAGCTCCACCTATTCCTCCACCACTGCCTCCAGGTCCAATGCCTCCAGCCATGCCCACACTCATCCCAGCGCTCATGGAGCTTGAGCTGCTACTCATTATGGACATGGTCCCAACCATGGTTGTGAGTCGCAAGTCCTCGCCCTCAATCAGCTTCCTATGGAAACAGAGAAAAGCCGTATCAATGGATCAGAATCGAGAAAATATGAAATTACCACAAATTCGCTTTTATATGACACTCATTTCTATTTGCTCATCTAAAGGTTATTTACACTCTCTGTATGATCCTATCTAAATCCATTGCACTAAACCTGGCATCACCTGAGTGCTACCTCACCTGTAAGTTGTGATCTCAATCTCCAGAGCCATCTTCATGTTCAGAAGGTCCTGGTATTCACGCAGGTGCAGAGCGATTTTCGACTTGGTGGATTTCAGCTCCTCCTTCAGGGCCTCAATCCTTGCCTGTGACGTCAAAAGATCCACCTTGAGTTAACACCTTAGTAGGCTACAGATGAAAGGTTGAACACCAACCTTTCATCTGTAGCCTACTTGGATTTGAACTGTGTACAATCAATTCAGATATATTTAACGGTTGAGTTCTGTAGTAAACCGGACTGAGGTAAGGTTCATTAATAACTGGACCACTCCACCTCCTGATCTAACGTGCTCACCTGAAGGTCCTCCAGCTCTTTCTTGTACTTTTCCTGTGCTTCACGAATTTGTGCCTCCAGAGCCTCATTCTTGGTCTTCAGAGCTTCCAGGCCACGCTCTTTATTTAGGATCTTCAAAGGTTAGGAAAAATACAATAAAAATGTATTTTTCCTTCATATTTTGATTGAGGAAAAATATCCATTGACATAGGCTTATAGGCTACAACTCTTATTTACATATAGCCTCGATAATAATAGTTGATGTGTCACATTTTACAACCATGTAGGAATATATTTTTCAAATAGCCTAACTTACATCCTTCTTGGCGCCAGCAACTTCTTCCCTGACACTTCGAACCATATCCACATGTTTTGTCGTCTTGTTGTTCAGGTCTTCAAACTTACTTTTATACCAGGAATCCATTTCCTACAACATATAGGGGCCATGAAACACATTCAGACCTTGAAATTAATTACTGCTGTATGTATACACTCCAGTTAATTATAAATAGGCCTACCTGTAAATTTTTTGCCGCTATTTCGTCATACTGAGCTTGGATTTGTTTGAGAGCGCCTGAGAGGTCGGGGAGGTCATAAGCGCTCTGGGCTGAGGAATGGGCAGCATATATCATTTTCAGAAGCTCTTCAATTTCCTGAGAAAGAAAAAAGGTTCAGTTAAATGTTTAGATGGTGTAGGCCTACACAGTAACTCCTATGCATTCAAATGTAACACTATTTTGGGGTTTATATGGTCCCACCCCCATTTTGTGTTAAAACTACTCTGGTCATGACGTTGATATTTTTGTAGTTAAAACGACACTAAATGGAGTAAATATCCAACTCTCAGAGTTGCTTAAATTTAACTTCAATTGCCATTTTACTATTTTCAGTGTTGTTTTTAATCAACTCCCTTGCCATTTTACACATTTGTGTTGTTTTGAATTAACAATCAACTACAGCGGATTACATTTATCTTTCAGTTTACTTCCTTTGTGTAAAGGGTGTAAAGCCTTATTTGAATATTTCTGAATGTGTCACATTATGGTGGTTTGCAATGTGATAAAAAAACAATGCAAAAACAGATAACAAAAAAAAAAAAATCTACCTGCAACAGAGCATGCTGGGAAATATGACAATGAGGCCCCTCCCCACCTGTGGAGAACTCCATAGATTTAACTAATATGGAGTTAAAAGTACTCCATGCCAATGAACTCCAGTTATCAACACAGGAAGCATATCACTCTCTTGAGGGATAAGATAACTCCCAATAGAGTAAATTTAACCCTCATTTTTTAAACACTGATTTCAACTATCCTTGATTTACTGTTTATCATTTCGTCCATTCGCTAGAGTTGGTACAGGTCGCTGCAAATCAATAAGTGCACGCTATAACGCGACCTACCGCTTTGTGCACCCTCTGAAGGAATTCAATCTCCACCTCCAACTGCTCGAGCTGTTTCTCCAGGGCTATGCGCTGAGAGGTGGCTCTGTCCACATCCTGAAAACCAAATAACACAATGGCGTCAATGGCACTTGAATGTTTATCAGGCAATTTTGGCTAAGACTATACAGTGATTAAACAGCCTCTCACCGGACGGAATGCTTCTATCTCCATCTCGGCCCGCCTCCTCAGCTCAACTGCCTCCTCGTATTTGACTTTGGTCATCACCAGTTGACCTGCCATGGCCTCTTTACCGGCTATGGCTTGGTCCTGTAAACCAAAACACAGATGAACCTTTATTGGGATATAAAGGTAACAAGCCGATAATAAATTATAGGCTGTGTCAGCCATATTGAAAGAAAGAAATCACCATATTGGCCACATTCTAATTCTCGCTCTCTTTTTAATTATGTCTCCATCTCCTCCTCTGTGTGTGTGTGTGTGTGTGTGTGTGTGTGTGTGTGATTTCTGTTTTTTCGCTCTAATGATCATCTGCGAGGTAAACGAGAAAAAAGGGGACAGTGATGACGTGTGGATTAAGCCATTCCGTCTCACCCGCTGGATTCTCATCTTTTCTGCAATCTTCTTCAGATCTCTCAGCTGCTCCTCGTACAGTTTGCGCAGGCCCGACGGCTTCACGAACCGGTTCTGGATGCCGTCAATCTCCATCTCCAACAACTTGTTCTGCTGCTCCAGGGACCGAACCTTTTAAGAGAATGACATTGGCGGGGTATGAATTATCATCAAATTTGCCAGCGACCCTCACTTGAATATGCTCGCTGCCCAAATAAGTGGGAATAATGCGCGCCTCCGTCTCCACAGCCAGAAGGTGCATTTCTCCACTGCAGCCCTGTATGGCACACTCAAACAAGCGTAGTCTAATCAGACAAATTCCATCAAAGAAACATCAGTTCTTCTACTTTAAGGGCGGCAGAATATCGCACAGATGTTAAAGAATATTGGCAGCGGCACTGATGCAATGTATCCGGCCAGAATCCACACACAATTGCGCCTGCATGTGTGAAGAGCAGCTATGTCTAGGCTATAGCTTACTAGAAAGTTGGCTATCTGTAATATGAAAGCCACAAAACAACAAGTTCATCCCCATATATTGCGTCAATTAGTCTGTGCGCGCACACCTATCCAATAATCCAAAAGTTTGTGTGTGCTAGCCTTGGCGCCTTGTGTGTGAGCAAGTGTATAGTGGTGGGTGCTTACCTTCTCAATGTAAACAGCAAGTCTGTCGTTCAATACGACCATTTCCTGCCGCTCACCACTGCGCGTGCTGAGGAATTCTTTGTTCTCCGCAGCAGATGCGTCCAGGTCCACCGGGGCCCCATTGCCATAGCCCACACATGCCATGGTTCCCGCATTTCCGCTAAAATGACAGTCAGTTCAACACTCACCGCTTGACCTGGAGATAACTGACATGACTTTGTTATTCAAGACATGACGTAAATATTAAAGGTTTGAAAGGTTATTGTCACTTGCATGTCACATCACAGCGACATGGTTAACCGATGGCCTGTCACGTAACCTTCTATTAATTTCCAGGTGCCACATTTGTGCCTACTCTGATGTCAGATGCAAAAAAATGTTTTTGCCTGCGCTGAAGACGTCTATATCGGTCATATACTACTTTTGAGAAAAAATCTAAACAAAATGTATTTGTATTTGAGTGTTTAACAGCATTTGTAACTTGAGTCTGATAATTACCCGTACAAAACAATTAATCTGATGATACTCGTGGAATATAAAAATACTTGCTTGATATATGGTTCCAGTTCCTTTAAATACTTATTTGTATGTGAAAACTGAAATGGTCTATTCATACATTTTACTAGAAGCTCTTATCCAGTGCAACTTACGGTAGTGAGTGGATACATTTTCATACCTTTTTGTACAGGTCCCCCGTGGGAATCAAACCCCACAACCCTAGCGTTGCAAGCACCATGCTCTACCAACTGAGCCACATAATCACAAACCACTTGATGTCTCAATGTACTAAATTACTGTATTGTGCATTGTTTTTCTTCATGGAGATGGAAAGTTTACAGGTACCAAACCTAGATGACCACCCTATGTACAATACAGTAATGTACATTTACATTAAGTGGTTTGTAAGGATGGTAAATTAATACTGCACAAAATGTGGTTGTTTTCCATGTTATTTGATCAAGAAAAATATTTTATTTGATGTGGATGCTTTGTGTCTTTGCCCATAACATTGCACCTTTTGATGTAAATGTTTGAGGACAGGGTTTTGTTCTTTAATGGATTCCATTAGAATGACCATCACAGAGAAAGGGACAGGGCAACAACTCTTACAATTCCAACTATTGAATCCTGCAAAATACTGTTCTTAATTATACAACAACCTTTTTTTTTTTTTACAAAGCAGAGATGCTGAAAAAATATTTTTGTCTGCTCTACAGATGTCTATATCAGTCCACTAGTAAAGGCCCAGTGTACTACTTGCGGGTACTACTTGTGTCAGAATTTTCAGGGGGTGCTGCAGCATCCTCAGCACCCCTACAGCTGTTACAAACTAAAACAATTAATTTTAATATAATGGTGTACAGCCTATTTGTTCTCATGGATATGAGCTATTTTGCCGTTTTCGAAATGTCTTGAATTTAGTCCCTTACAATGTTTAGGCCTACCTACTTATTTATTTATTGATACCTAAAACCTAAAATTCACAATAATATAAAAAGTTGTACATTATTTAGATGCCATTTAGTTTAGGCCTATAGGTTAATCCTTATGTGGAAAATTGACATAGGCCTTACTTTTTTCCACTATCTAAAAGTTAATTTGCTTGGCGTTGTTATTAATGCTTGACTACAACAAAGGTAGCCTATCAACTCTGAAAGCCATGCTTGTCTCTGTCCTCACTCACACATAGTGCTATTAGATGGGAAAATCTATTTCACACAGTGAAGGAGAATTCGATTTGTTATGTCTGTCAGGAAGAATTGTGGCAAGTCTTTGAGTCATCTGCCAGTAAGGAGACAAATTGGCCTATAGCCTCAGAAGAGCAGTAAAGGGGAGGGGAGGTACATACTGTACACTGTTGACAGCAACATACATCTATCTTGTACTGTACTAATTGCCTGTATTTTGGTGGTAATGTAGCACAAATAGCTTTCCTGTAAATTCACAAATATAATACTTGTGGTGTATCAGCAGTGTGTAGTCTCACATTATCGCTTTCAGATGTCACTTATATTGTATCAACTGTATCTACATAACCTCTACTACCCTTTTCACACTTACTGGGCTTACTGGGCTTGAACATTTGAGTATAGCCACATATAGAACAATGAGCCAGATATTTCACTGGATGTATAAATGTGAAGCATCCAGTTGGCCTTTCCACTCACTACCAAATATGGTTATGAGAGGAAGCCCAGTGGCCGGCGGTGGGAGAAGATGAAGTGGGATGGATTTTGGCCGACATTCTGCACATTTTCTCCTTGATGAAACATTTGATCTCAATACAGTTTTCTGTTTCCAAAACTAGAATCTGTACCAAACAGTGGACTACGTTTTGTAGACTTTATCCTTTGACAAAGTTTCTAAAAATTGCTTTGTTTAGAAGGAGTGCAAGGGGGAATTGCACACAGGCACTTCATAGGGTAGGCGTTCCCTAACGGAAAAATGCAATTAAATGCTAGAATGCACAATCGGATCTCGCTAGCTCGTGCTTGGCTCTGCTCACCTCCTTGCTTGTTCTGCCCACTATGATTAATTTGCTCCCATTGGAAATGACAGGCTCTGGTCTATCTTGGGTTAGTTATAAATATCTTTGGTATAGCCCTAGCAACTATGGTGGATGCGGAACCAGGCCAGCGCAGTACAGCTCAGCTTGGCTTAGTTGTGTGAAAACTGTACTAGGTGTAGAGTGTGGAGTGAGCATCTTACCCAGCCATGCGAGCGTTGCGTGAGGTGGAGACGGTCCTTCTGCCCATGGTCTGGGCCTGCATACTGCTGGCTCCGGCACTGCGCAAGTAGCTGGCTGACTGGTGGCGGTTAACTCTCCGGGTCGGGGATGGGCTGGACACCCTAACCTGGTAGGAGGATGAGCTGCTGCTGTCCTCAAAGTGGCGTCGGTAGGACGAAATCCTCTCTGGGCTGCGACTCATGTTGGCGGCTGCTTGGGTTTGTCTATCTCTGGGTTCTCTGGAGGTGGTCAATCTTCACCTATGGGACCTCTGCTACTTTTGCTGTGCACTAGCTCCATCGCCTGAGGCTCTTTATACTCCACACGGCCCGGCTTAGCCCAGCCCAAAGGCATGGCCTGGCCCAACCCAACTCATGAGCCAAGACCTCTGGAATCTCTAACCTCAGCACCACACTGGGCCAGACCTGCCACGACATTCAGACATCTGGCAGCACCCTGCGAGGAGCTGAATAGGGGCTATGGAACAGAAAGGCAGATAGAACAGAGGCAGCACTAGCAGGGCCCATTAGGCAGTAGGTGCATGCAGCAGCAGTCACTGATGTAATCTGCTCAGATGGGGCAGGGGGCTTTAATTGCACGCAGAGCATAGGGCCAGGGGGTGACCCGATGAGGTCAGGCTTCAGAGGGACAAGGGGCTGCCTGAGATTTGACATAAATTAGTACTTATTAGTCTGGTCTGTTTTTTTACATTAAATAAAGGATATGCAGGAAAAAAAAGAACATGGAATTAACTGCTTGAGAGAGAATCAGGGAAAATGAAGAAGCAGGGGGGTTTGTCTGAAGTTCATGCTTGATGTGGCAGAAGGATGTGAATGGAGTAAACGCTAGTCTGGTCTGGCCAGGGAGTAGCTCCTACTACAACACCTATAAGGCCACTCAGCCGGCCAGGGCTTCAGCAAATAGACATGGTCCTGACAAGATACTGCCTTGACCCTAAACACTAACAGGCCACTCCAATTACTAACAAACAAAACCCCCCAAACATACTCACAAGCATAGACAGTAAGCACATACACTACCGTTCAAAGGTTTGGGGTCACTTAGAAATGTCCTTGTTTTCGAAAAGAAAAGCAATTTCTTTGCCCATTAAAATAACATCAAATTGATCAGAAATACAGTGTTGACATTGTTAATGGCTATTGTAGCTGGAAACGGCAGATTTTTATGGAATATCTACATAGTTTGCAACTCTGCCTAGAAGGTCAGCATCCCGGAGTCGCCTCTTCACTGATGACGTTGAGACTGGTGTTTTGCGGGTACTATTTAATGAAGCTGCCAATTGAGGACCTGTGAGGCGTCTGTTTCTCAAACTAGACACTCTAATGCATTTGTCCTCTTGCTCAGTTGTGCACCGGGGCCTCCCACTCCTCTTTCTATTCTGGTTAGAGCCAGTATGCACTGTTCTGTGAAGGGAGTAGTACACAGCGTTGTACGAGATCTTCAGTTTCTTGGCAATTTCTCGCATGGAATAGCCTTCATTTCTCAGAACAAGAATAGACTGACGAGTTTCAGAAGAAAGTTATTTGTTTCTGGCCATTTTGAGCCTGTAATCGAACCCACAATTGCTGATGCTCCAGATACTCAACTAGTCTCAAGAAGGCCAGTTTTATTGCTTCTTTTAAAATGATAAACTTGGATTAGCAAACACAACGTGCCATTGGAACACAGGACTGATGGTTGCTGATAATGGGCCTCTGTACGCCTGTGTAGATATTCCATAACAAATCAGCTGTTTCCAGCTACAATAGCCATTTACAACATTAACAATGTCTACACTGTATTTCTGATCAATTTGATGTTGTTTTAATGGACAAAAAAATTGCTTTTCTTTCAAAAACAAGGATATTTCTAAGTGCCCCCAAACTTTTGAACAGTAGTGTAAAAAATGTCAAAGATGGTGACACTTTATTTTACAGTGTTATTACTATAATAATTATTGTACATACAGTGTAGGTAATGAATACTCATTGTTATACTGTACTTATAGCAGTAAAACGTTTCACAATAAAGGGGCCATCTCTCAGCTGTTTACCAAAACAGTGGCGGGGTGTAGGCTGTTGTTGTTGTTTGAAATGCAGATTGCACTTTAAGTTCAGTGAAACAATGGGTATTGATTGACAAGATTAATCACATATTAAAGTGTTACCTCAAATACAGTACATTGTTCTCTTGTCCGATAGGCCTTATGCCTGATCTGAAAAACTGCAACATTGTGTGAGGGTGTCAACACTTTTACGAGAGATTGACAGAATTTCCATTGGTAAGATGCTTTCCATTTACCTCAGAGCTTGCAGGCATGTGGGATGTGGAGTCTCCTCTGCATATCTCAGTGATGAGAACAGAAGCTAAGTATGCCCACCAGTGCTGTTCAACATCTAATCAAACTATGACATCACTCATCCATAACATACTCACTCCATTGCACAAGGGTGCGCGGTGCCGGAGCCAAATATAGAGAGATATACAGTGCCTTCAGAAAGTATTCACACCCCTTGACTTTTTCCACATTTTGTTGTGTTACAGTCTGTTACAGTCTCGCAAAGAAGGGCACCTATTGGTAAAAAAAAAACAAGAGCAGACATTGAATATCCATTTGAGCATGGTGAAGTTATTAATTACACTTTGGATGGTGTATCAATACACCCAGTCACTACCAAGATACAGGCGTCCTTCCTAACTCAGTTGCCGGAGAGGAAGGAAACCACTCAGGGATTTCACCATGAGGCCAATGGTGACTTTAAAACAGTTACAGAGTTTAATGGCTGTGATAGAAAACTGAGGATGGATGAACAACATTGTAGTTACTCCACAATACTAACCTAAATTACAGAGTGAAAAGAAGGAAGCCTGTACAGAATACAAATATTCAAAAAAATGCAATAAAACTTTTAAAAAATTGGCAAAGAAAATACATTATGTCCTGGATACAAAGTGTTATGTTTGGGGCAATTCCAACACAACACATCACTGAGTACCACACTTCATACTTTAAAGCATGGTGGTGGCTGCATCATGTTATGGGTATGCATGTCATCGGCAAGAGCTAGGGAGTTTTTTTTAGGATAAAGAGAAAAGAATAGAGCTAAGCACAGGCAAAATCCTTGAGGAAAATCTGGTTCAGTCTGCTTTCCAACAGACACTGGGAGACAAATTCACCTTTCAGCAGGACAATAAACTAGGCCAAATATACACTGGAGTTGCTTACCAAGATAACATTGAATGTTCCTGAGTGGCCTAGTTACAGTTTTGACTTAAATCATCTTGAAAATCTATGGCAAGACTTGAAAATGGCTGTCTAGCAATGATCAACAACCAACTTGACAGAGCTTGAAGAATTCTAAAAGAATAATGTGCAAATATTGTACAATCCAGGTGTGCAAAGCTCTTAGAGACTTACCGAGAAAGACTCACAGCTGTAATCGCTGCCAAAGGTGATTCTAACATGTATTGACTCAGGGGTGTGAATACTTATGTAAATTAGATATTTCTGTATTTCATTTTCAATAAATTTGCTAAAATTCTAAAAACATGTTTTCACTTTGTCATTATTGGGTATTGTGTGTAGATGGGGGGAAAAAAATCTATTTAATCCATTTTTAATTAAGGCTGTAACACAACAAAACGTTGAATAAGTAAAGGGGTATGAATACTTTCTGAAGGCACTGTAAATTACTATGGCTCTGCATTGTCCTAGAGAAGACGTCAACTTATCCAAAAATATTTATTACTTTCTGTTTTTGGCTATGTACCCTTTCATGAACAGGGTTCGGGTCAATTCCATTTACATTCAGGAAGTAAACTGAAATTCCAATTTGCCTCAATGGATCTCGTTGCGAAAAATGTGTAATTGGAATGACAATTTACTTCCTGAAATGGTATTGGCCCCAACCCTGGTCATTTGTTATTTCAAGATGGCAATGTAATTAAACAGAGAATGTTGAGCCAGGGAAATTGTTGCTTCTGAAGCCATTCTAAACGATCTGCCTCTCATTAATGGACCTGAATTGTGTTTATGGTGGTTTTTTAGTTGGATGAAGTGTAGAACCACTAGGTGAATAGATGCCCGTGGCTATGTACTTGTGTACAAGGACTGCTGAATTTGTCAACAAACTTGACACATCTATCATTGATGACAAAGGAACTTGTGAATGCCTTCTGGAGGTTATGTGGCAAATTCATATAGAGGTATTGGTTATTTGAAGTGGTTATTAGATACAGTATATCACCCCAGTGCACCAGCTTTCTACAGGGCAGGGATAAAGTTTCCAATACCTTTTTCATAGCAGACAAATATCCTAATTTAATTCAGTTATATAGCATTTTATATGGCCATGTCTGTTATTTCATGAGAACCTGTATTTCCCTAGTAAATTATGTTCTTTGTTCCTTGTTATAGATTTAGCCTAGTTTCCATTGCTCAATCCTCGGAAAACCTTTGACAATAAAAAGAGACATCGTAAATCAATGTGTGTTTATTTCATTACATAAAAAAGCTAAATAAAATAGTTTATTTGATCAGTATATGCAGCACCAACCTACCTACCTATATTATATCCAATAAATGCATGTTGTATTCACCAATGCTCATATTCACATCACAGGAGAGACCTGGGCCACGTTGAGTAGGCTAACATTGTGAAACGTTGCAGATAGAAATGTCACGAAGAGATGTCATTCTTTATTCTGCATTTCAATCAATCAAGTTTATTTCATAAAGCCCTTTTTACAACAGCAGTTGTCACAAAGTGCTTTACCAGTTACCTGCCTAAATCCCAAAGAGAAAGCAAAGCAGATGCGAAAGCATAGTGGCCAGGACAAACTCCCTAGACAGAAAAAACCTAGGAAGACACCAAGAGAAAAATCTGGCTCAGTGGGTTGGCCCATCCTCTTCTGGCTGTACCGGGTAGAGATTTATAGTACATGAGGCATTTAAGGCCTGATTGTTTTTCAGTTCATAGTGTATGTTTCTCCGACTGATGGATAAGCAGATAGAGAATCATGTTTGTCCTACACAATATATTTATATCTGAACGTGTCAAAATGTTGTGCACTGCTGAATGCAGCCCAGATACAATCTGAAGCCAAAACATTTGGTTTCCAACAGCAGAGATTTGTATTAACCTTGCTGTCTGTCTCGCCAACATTTGCAAACATTGTTTCAATATTGAAATTCGATCTCCAGCTGTCCCATAGTAATGAACGTGTCGGGGGTCGGGACGAGACATACAGGCTGGCCGCTTTTCTCAGCCAGTCGAAATCATGAATCAGCATAATTTTTATGGATATATACAAGAAATGTCAGTAGAAAAGTGCTTGTGTAAGCCAACCAACGTTACACAGCTATCTCTTCTGAACAGTGGCCTGGCGAAAGAGCAAATACACCACATGAC